GGGTAGTGGCACTCAAATTAAGGAAAGTTGCCTTGTGTGGTTGATATTGATGTGAAAGAGTAAGAATGGTTTTGAGGGACACAAATCTTGCTAGATATGGTATTCTACAAAAATAGTGGAGCATGCAAAGAAATTTTAAAAGGACACAAGTAATGGGAAGGACGAGTACTTATTTCTTATCAAATATTTGTGAAACCACTTGGAGTGTGCAAATGGACATATTTCTTATTTAATTTCTTTCTTTTGAAATATTTCTGATTTCATATGGTAATTTGGCAGGGGCAAAATGGAAGTCACTTTGAACCAAGGCCTGTTCCCCCACCTCTGCCAAATAAGTGTGACTGGGAAGTTGATCCAACTGAATTGGACTTCTCAAACTCGGCTATTATCGGAAAGGTATGAATGAACTACTTAAATGTAAGGAAAATGTTCTCAGAAGGGTTAATTAACAAAAATCATCATCTTTTAATTTTTCACTAATCAAGCTTATAATATTAGAATATATTTCAGAATTTAGTCTTGGAAGAATTTCATTTAGGGATTTTAAGGCGTTAATTACACTTTTGATTTCTACTGCATCTCGGTGTTTGCCTCAAATGTTCAAATTCGTATTTTGCAGCAGCTACATAGACATACACAAAAGTGGGAAAGATAATTTAGTTCAAAATTAGTAGAATGTGTATTTATGTGTAATTTTCAGCTAGTGTGTGCTAGAGTTGAGTTTTCTGGCAAGTAACCCTTTTCAAATTTGCACATGTTTCCTTTTCTTTGTTTTTTTGTCTAGATGACTTTCTTTGTTCTATTTTTCTGCCCAATTATCTTTAATTATTTCTGAGTTTAAGTGGTTGCTCCTGATGGTATGCAATTTTATCTGTAGCATTCTACTTCCGATATTTTGCTTTCAAGTTCAAACATTAGATGTATGTTACTCCTAGTACTTTATCTATCTTCAAACGTTTTTCTCATGGAAGCTTATGCTATTAGGGCTCCTTCGGTGAGATACTTAAAGCATCGTGGCGTGGAACACCTGTTGCTATCAAACGCATCCTTCCAAATCTTTCTGATGACCGCTTGGTGATGTAAGTAACTCTATGATCTAAATTTTACCATAGCTTCAAATTTTCACATTTCTAAGTTCTTACACTTGAAGTTTCAGATTCTGGAGTGTCATTCAGTTATTTACTATCCATTTCATATTGTAAAGCCATTCATTTAATACTTTCGGACTCTGCATTTAATTTCCATCTGCTTGATGGAGAACTTTTTTTAGTTTCTAGTTGGTAGTCTTTAAATGAAGTCCTGTCCTCTACTCTCTCTCTCTCTCTCTTAGTATTTTAAAACAAAACACTAATGTTTTCATATTCTGCATTTGTTTTTTATTTGCTTGACAGGCGACTTTTTTCTTAGTATGTGGGTGTTGTTTTTTAAATGGTCTGTAGGTACCTGAGATGAATTTCCATTAATATTACACTTCGTCTTTGTAATAAATAATTTCTACTCATATTATTTTATGAATAATAAAACTTTATGTTTCCGTCTGACTATACAGTCAGGATTTCCGGCATGAGGTAAATTTGTTGGTGAAGCTTCGCCATCCAAATATAGTGCAATTTCTTGGAGCTGTTACTGAAAAAAAGCCCTTGATGTTAATTACTGAATATTTAAGGGGGGTACGTGGTTTGCATCTTTTGGTTCTTGCTGGGGTAAATTATTTTCCAATTCCCACTATGGCTGGATTTTCTTTTGCTAATGACTTACACTCTGTTACAGGGTGATCTTCATCAGTACCTGAAGGGGAAGGGTGCACTCAGTCCATTGACAGCCATCAATTTGGCAATGGACATAGCTAAGTAATTTCAACTCATTGTAATATTTATTTGTTTTTTTAAGTACCATTACCAGCTTTCTTACCAGTTTTTATATATATTTATCTTTACAGAGGTATGGCGTATCTTCACAACGAGCCAAACGTTATAGTTCACAGAGATCTAAAACCAAGGCAAGCTGATAATTCTACCCACCTTATGAATGGATTAGTGGGACTTTTTGGTAGAATCAGATTTCGTGTATTCAAGAAAAGTGTATTGTTGCCCTGTTGGTCTCTCAACTCTTCAGATGTAGTCATTTTAGTGTATCATTAGCATTATTGAGCAAATGTTACCTTCATGTTACAAAGTGGTTGCAAATTTGGCCTCTTGATGGTTGAGCTTTTTAGTAATGAAGTCCTAGGGTTCTTGTTTGCACGCATGAGCATGGGTTTTGAGGGAGAAGAAAACAAATACTGTAAGTCCATTTGCAAGTGAGACCCTAAAATTGTTTGTAAGTCACAAAGGGCCTCAATTGCAAACGTCTTGCAAAGTCAGGTGTGAGTGTGAGGGACCCGAAACACATTCTTCTCTCAATTCCTAATATTTTCTTCCGTAGCTGACCCTTCGAATCTGGTTCGCCTTCCAGGAATGTGCTTCTTGTGAACTCAAGTGCAGACCATCTAAAAGTTGGAGACTTCGGGTTAAGCAAGCTCATCAAAGTTCAAAATTCCCATGATGTCTATAAAATGACAGGAGAAACTGGAAGCTGTAAGTTTGTTTTTCTCTATGGCCAAGTGGAAGTTTGCCAACATTGATAGACACATGACTTACTAATTAATAGATATTTTTTTTTAATTCTCCATTTTGAAAAGACCGGTACATGGCCCCTGAAGTTTTCAAGCACCGTAGATATGACAAGAAGGTTGATGTGTATTCATTTGCAATGATACTATACGAGGTAAGTTCTGGTTTTAATTTCTCACCGATGGGGCTTCATATCAAAAGCTTGTGTTATCTCATATAAATGAATTGTGAAATTTGCTCATCCAGATGTTAGAAGGGGATCCACCATTATCAGGCTATGCACCATATGATGCTGCTAAACATGCAGCTGAAGGACACCGACCCATATTTAGGGGAAAGGGATTCACGCCTGAATTGAAAGAGTAAGTCATTTAACAACCCATACCACACTGAAACGTCGAGAACACTCTGATCTACGCGGTCTGTTTCCATGTTGGTGGAGAAGTGTTGGGCAGCAGACATGAACCAGAGACCATCTTTCCTCGAGATTCTGAAACGACTTGAAAAGGCAAAGGAAAGTGTGCCATCCGATCATCACTGGAACATCTTTTCTTCATGACTGCTTTTGCCAAAAGACTTCAGTATGAATTTCAATCTTCCATTCCCAACTCCCAAGTCTTATTTCCTTCTTTTTTGTGTATTAGAAATTAGATGTACAATAATAACAAAAAATGCCATCTCAAAGAGAGTGTTTACATTGATCCAAAAGGGAGAAAAGGTTAGAAAAGCTTCTTCTTATGGAAAAAGGTTTTCAAATACAAAAACTGGGTTCCGGCCACAGTGAGGCACAGAATAAACGACACTCCGCTCAGCCAACCCATTTCGGTGTTGGTTGCTCGGTTTAGCTCTTGCATTTCTTCTTCTCTGCACATAATATTGGCCACACCATATTAGTTCAACTTTGGATGGACAAAGATAAATGGTGGAGAAATGAACCCTAAAGGGTGTGTTGTGTCGTAAAGGAAGCGAGGGAAAATGTTCCCCCCCCCCCCCCGTTTGGGTAAATAATTTATGGGGAGGGTACCAACATTTTCCCTCGCATCCAAATCCGCTCAAACTATTCAAGATAACTTCTAAGCCTCATGTCAAGTTTTTTCCCCTCCTTCCCTCCCAACAAAACAAACCAAGAAGAGCTTGTGTGCATAATTATTAATCTTTCTATCCCATAAATTACTTTCCTATGGTATTTGAAATGTCTTGAAAAAACTTCTACTTTCTTTTTAAAGAAAAGATTGTGTAGTTTATATTATCTCTTTCTCATACACAAGTCACAAACCATACAATTTCTAGTAAATCGTGTTAATCTCAACGTACCTTTCGCGGAGATAAGACATCTCATCATGGATGGCATTGATGGTTTCGTACATTTTCTTCAACTCCAATTCCATAGCCTGTTAATACAAAGCGAGAAATAAGCTATGCCTAAATTTGAAGGGAAGAAAAGTTATACGGGGGATATTCCATTTGGGGTACCCTATTTTTACACAATGCAAAAGTATCTGCGATCAAAGATACCAGGTATCTGTGTGTGTCTGGTGTACAAATCGAGTACTCCATTTTGGTAAACCTCTAGGTTTATTCAAACAAAAAAAACAATTGAAATGGAAAAGAGATGATTTACAATAATAGGATGTATAATTTCCAAAGAATTAACCTACATCAATGGAGTATTTCTTTGCGACATTGGTCCAATCCTTGGTGGCCGCTACGCCAGATTTCCAATGGAAGTCAACGGTCAAAGTGACAGGCGGGTGGTGACGTGGAGCAAAGAAGCAAGTCTCGTAATCCCCTGCTTCTTCTACGGTCTCGTATACAAACTCCCCTTCCCCAACTTTCTCTGCATACTGATAATTATTCCCATTTGGAGACGTCACCTGTACGGCCCAACAACACCCCCCCCCCCATTTTAAAAATAAAAAAAAATTAAAATCATTTATAAACACTCTGTATGTCCATAAATAAAGTTCTCATTACACGCTACGACATTTGACCGAATTTATTTTTTAAATAATTTTATACGCAAAATTGTATGTAATTAGAAAATAAAAATTACATATTTAAAAACTACATAAAAATATCTACAAAATTAGAGGTGACATATACGAGCAAAATTGTATGGAATTAGATTATAAAAATTACTCCTTCCGTCCCAAATTATAATGCTTGTTCACTATTTACAGAGCCAAACTTCATTCACTTTCTTTCTCTATTTTCGTTAACAATTTGATAAAATAAAATACTATTGTCACTACTAGTTTTGTAGATCTTTTGATGTAGTTTTTTAATATATAATTTTTATTTTTTAATTCTATACCATTTATCATATAAAATGGTTTGAAAATAATTTCAGTCAAACATCGTAAACCAAAACAGACGTTATAAAATGTGACAGAGGTAGTACATATTTAACACACTTTGTTTTGCCGACTGGGCAACATCGGCAAATAATTTATAAATATTGACTCGGCAAATTGGAGTTGTAAACAAAAAATAATACGAGTAATAGTTACTCCTTATTTACCACTTTATCAAATACGGAGGTTAATTTGGCATTGACCATGCTAGGGTGCCACCACATGGGTGCTACTATGCGTGCACTCATGCTTCGTACAGACAAACACAGACAATAATTGTCTGTGTCGCACAGACAATTATCGTCTATGTTTGTCTGTGTGAAGCATGGGTGCACCCATGTGGTGGTACTCCGTTAATTTAGCATTTTTCTTATTACTTTTGGTCTTCCGTTAATTTAGTTTGTTTTTGACTATCAGATTTATTCCAATCTAATTGTCCGTTTTTACTTTTTACATATGATATTTGATTGAATTCTTTTTAATTTAATTTATTTATAAATTGTGTATAATTAAAAAAATAGCAAAAATTACAAACGCTCAAATTTTATGATGATTTATGATGGGTAGTGAGAGAAAAAACAAGGGTGTATTTAGTTGGGGGTAATTTGGTCAACTTAGGCTTAATATCACACCATAAATAGAAAGTGAAGAAAAATAATGGTAGATTGTCCAAAAGGAAAGGGGAAGGAGTAATTTACATAAATAGGACTAAAACATAATGACTTTTCTAATATAGGACCATATGTTTTTATTTCTCAATGTAGGACTTTTGGTCATTATCAAGTAATCATTATTCAAGTGAATGTCCATCATTATTGGATATTATTCCTCTCACAAGGTCATTATTAAGTCCTATTTAGGGAATAAAAAATTTAAGTCCTACATTAAGAAAGTCATTATTTAGAGCAAATTTCACAATTCTTAATCATCGTTGCACTACTTTTTTATCATCTAAATCACCCTTTTGACAAATGAGGATATTTTGATAATGAATTACTCGTATAAGTTATAATATAAGTTTAATATAATTATGTTCATTTTAAGATATGATCAAACAAACTCCAAAACTCAAACTAGGACTATAATTTTGAAGAAAAAAAAAAGAGTAAACTTTTTTACAAATAAATATTCCCCCATCCCAATGTTTTCTTAAAACGTAACAAAATTTGACGACAATTAAAATTTATCTAGTTCGAATTCGGAAGAGTCAAACGAGAAGATAATTTCATTTCAAATTAGATATGAAGTATTCAGGTAAAAAAAATAAATAAAAGATCTAACCGACCCAAACGGTGACATTATGGGTTTCCGGCAAAGGGTCGCCGGCGTTGGGGTTGACGACGCGGTACTTGCAGACGGACATGGCGCCGCTCTTGATTTCCTCGTATATGCATTTGGTATGACCCGATTCGATGTCGAATCGGAGCGACTGAATCCGGGTCGGAATGAAGGCCGAGATCATCATAATCATAATGAGAGAAACTGCAAACCACTCGTGACCCATTCCCATTTTTATTTATTAATTTTATATATTATTTCTCTCTTTCTTCTTCTAGAAAAAAATTTTTCTAGAAGAAGAAAGAGATGATGGAATTAGAATGGGGAATGGTGGTGGCGTTTGACGGAGGATTTGTTTATTTAGATTCACCTCCGCGAAGTAGAGAAGAGGGGGAAGGGTAAGGGAGGACAATGTGGTTGTGAATAATTCTAATTTATTTTCTTAAAACATAACTGCAATTTGTTTTTATTTTTTTTTAAAGATTTTATGTGGATGCTTTTATTTTATGTTAAGAGAAAAAAGCATTTATTTTAAATTTAAAAAAAATTATCTTCTTTTCGTTTTAAAATAGAGTAAATTAGAAGACAATTGGTTTACATTTATAATCTACCAAAATATTATGAGGCAAGTATTAACTAGTATATTGTGAGAGTATAATTAAAGAGACAAGACTAAATACCTAATAATATCATTGACATTGAATATCAATGTCACGAGATGACATCAGGCATATACTTGCTTTATTGTGTCGGAAAGTGATTTTTACCCCTCCCCAAAAACAACCCTAGCCACCATCTTAGCTCCCTAGCTCCCTCCCCACCATAACTTTCAGTCTCATAGACATTGCTTGTGTATGAGAACTTTCTTTATATATACACGCAAATATTCAACTTTCTTGTTATCTATTAAACATAGTCTCTCTTATTTATCTATCACATACACTACTGCTTGGGTTGCTTACTAATATTACATCACATGCTTTAAAATACAAGTTTTACTGTGTTAAATTCTATAGACATTGATTATCTATAGATTTCAACCACATAGACGATACCATTATGTGTGGTAGAATGTACATACATACATTTCAGTGATTTCACATCATGTTGCCCAACATCATACATATGATTAGGGTTGGAGTCCACAAAGATAATTGTTTGTCTTATAAAATATATGTACATACATTATAAAGTATGTTGACACTGGTGGATCCAAGGAATTCAAGTCTTCAAAAAAAGAAAAAGTCTTGAAAGCTTTGAACTTGTGTTCCAAGTAATTGTGATATTAATTGGGTAACGGTGATAGCGTACATCCTTTACAAGCCAAAAGAGGAATATATACATATCTTAATGGCCCACAGGCATGTTATTTATTAGAGCTACATTAATGGGCCGACAAATATGTTGGTCTGCCCCTCCATAAAACTCTAATAGTGTCGTACTCTAGCCAATTTTTTATCTCTTCTTCTTGTTACTCATACCGAGCAGAGGCCTTAGTTAGGGCTTAGCCCCCCAAATCTATCCTGTATGTACATTGTCCTCATCTAAGGTCGAGGTGATATTTTGTCCTCCTAGGCCTGCTAGCAAGTGTAGGACCATGATACTCTCGCCTTTACGGCATATTGATCTTGACTTCTCTAGAGACTCCAAGTCTTCCTTTAGTCGAATACTTCTTCATCCCATCATGAGTCTCCCATTTTCCGAGCCGTGAAGAACATGAGGTGAAGTGAAAGTAGAACATAAATTAAACTTTAGAATGAAGAGAAATGCGGTTAAAAAGTTCACATTTTGAAATTTGAATTCTTCCAAATTCTTGAGGCGCGTAAAAGATGAATCATTGACATTTGAATGTATTTCAAAATGTCAACATTGTATAAGGATGTGTATCACCCCTTAATTTCAAAATGTCATCATTTTCAATGAGAGCACCAATAGTGGACTCAAGGAATCTGTGGGCCCCTAAACGGAGAAAATTTTAGAGATGGAGAAAGATTTTGAATCTATACTCCAGTTAAAGATGATTGTGTAATGATGATAGTGTACCTCCTCACAAGCCCTAAGGGGGTTTATATAATGTCTTAATGACCCAAGGAGCTGTTATTTATTAAAGCTAATTCTATATGGACCGACCCAATAGACTGAGCCGCCCTCTATAAAACTCTAACACTATCGTATTGTCTAAATCCCTAGCTCTTCTACCTGGCACTGAAATCGAGCAGAGACCCACTTAGGGTCGAGCCCCCTAAAATCTATCTTGGGACACTCCCCTTATATAAGCCCGATGCTCTAGGTGACGTTGTGTCCTCCAAGACATGCAAGCAGGTGTAAGGACATAACACCCTCGCCTTTAAGGCCTACCACTCTAGACTTATCTGCTGGCTTCATTTTTTCTTTGTGCCAGATACCTCAAACATTAAGTATTTGTATTTTTATGTGTCACAAATATTAAGCAACTTTTTAGTGATAGTGACAATGAGAAGTTAAAGAAGGTATTAACATCGATTAATGTTAGGGTGAGCTTCCAATTTACGAACATGAGCTATATGTGCTCTTTCATTTTACAAACATTATATGTGTTTGATCAAGAACATGAAAGATACTAATTATCTATGAACTGCAATAACTATCTATATTGCCAAAATTACATAAGTAGAATAAAGTCTAAAGTCTTGTATCAAATTAAATACATGCCAAAACTTATTGAATTATATTCCACGACAATATGTCAAAATTAATACATGCCAAAAACTCTAAGGACTAGATTATAGAGTCTTATGTCAAAATAAATACATGCTTTATTTTATAAGCGACTATCATTCATGTGCATTACACACTAAAATTAATATCATCAATTAACAGCAGAAGGATACAAAACAAGCAAATGATCCGTGAGCCACATGCACTATTCTAGAGTGTCATAAATGAAATAATATGTACACATCCATTAGATCTACTTGATAGTGAGATCTGTCATAAGACTCACATTTCTATAGTAGGTGCATTACATGTCACCAATATCAATCACTTGTTTGACCATGATGTTTCTCATCTCGATATAAACTCATGTTGTACTCAATTTGAAGGATTGAAATCTTAGGCATTAGCCATCCTAATATTCTTGTAATCACAAGTATTTCCACTCCAATCTTTCACATTATCTACTTTTATAATAATGGGTTAATAGGTTATTAATCATAAAGCTTTACTTCAATATTCCTAGAGTTAATCAAATCCGATGAAAAATAATTGTCCTGACTTTATAAATTGGGAGATGCTAGGGGTACACTAAAGTTTAGTGTACCCAAACGTACATCACCCCCATTATAACATTACTCATTTCTATTTATTTATTTCTTTTTATTTTACATGCCAAAATGAGTGGTAATATAGGGGATGTGGTGTATTTTGGATACATTTTTGGTATACCCCTAACATTTTTGTTATAAATTTACCCTATCAAAAATAGAAATACGATATGATCGGAATTTTCCAAATATTTAATTTAGGAAATACTTTATTATTGTAATCATCCTTATTTTAGTAAGTACTCCCTCTTTTTTTTGGATAATATCCTTATTTACTTTATATATCCAAGTAAATATACTCCCTAATACTCAGTCCGGTATTTCCAAATCTCTATCTTCTTCAGGTCGTCAGAAATTTTCAGATCTCTGTAATCAATTTCTCTCCCATTGTTTTTTTCTCCTTTCTTTGGAAGAGACTTCCGGAGAATAATCAGACACAAATTTCATTCAAGACTTGACTCTTGTCTTCTTACTACATTTGCCTCACACCGTTTTCCCAACAATTTTTTTAATTTCTTGGTTTGATTCAATTTTATATATTTATTGTCCACAAATTCTCCTCAAATTGTCGAAGATTGAAAATTCCCAAATTTCCCTGAATCTACGGTGTTGATTCGCCGATAAAGTGCGAATTTTTTGGATGTGGGGATGAAGGATCGGCGATGTGGAGGGAGAGTGGAGTGAAATGGAGGGGGCTAGATCGGAGGCCGTGTCGGTGCTGGTGAAGGGGGAGAAATTGCTGCCGTTGCAGGGAGGAGGGCCGGTGATCCAGAGGACGAGGTTGCAGGTTTGGTTCATTAGGGTTTGTTCCAGCATTCTAATATGGACCTGCTTGGTTCAGCTCATCGCGGTATCCGAACTCTGGCATCCGCGCTTGATCGCCGGAGTTTCTACGATCTCCCATGCAGTCGACGATGGCCTGCCGGCGCTGCCACCCCCGCCTCTTCTTCCCGCCAGTATGTGCCTACTTTGAGATCGCAATTCTGTTTTTTTGGTTTGAATCTATTCGATAAAATGTTGGTCTTGGATCGTGGATCGTTGTTTCTGACTAGGTGATATTTTCTTGTGCTTAGACTAAAACTCAGTTTTCCACCTCCTCTCTGTAAAACCTTGAGATTATGGCTTGCCCTCAAAATTGTTAGGATAAATGAGGTCGCATCTTTCCGGGTAGCTTCCTAGGCTATGCATTTCAAATGAAGTTTAGCATGTAAAGACATCCTAAAGGCTGATTCTTTGAGAAACATTCAGGGGAAGGGTAATTTGAAAGGCATACCATAAAATAAGTCACCCAGTAGGGAAAAAACCTATTTATAGATGAAGCTGAGAGAAAGAGTGCAACTTTGCTGATGGATCAGTTTGAATCTTTGAGAACACAGTCAATAAGATGACTTCATTTCTAAATTTCTCTAGTGCTGCCTTGTATATAGGTTACATAGTTAAATGATCACACATTCACATCTCCAGTCATATCTCTTGATACAGGACTAGAAATTGAAGGAAGTCATTCAAATGTCAAGTCTCAATGAAAACCCACTCGTTTGAATTTATTGAATATTTAATTGTTTAAGATTCAATCTCTCAGAATGTTGTTGCAAAATCTTGATATATTTTGTTTCAACCATGAGATGCTGATTTGTATTTACATTACAGGGAATTACACGAGCAATGGTTTTCTTAGAGTTTCTTGCAATGGTGGCTTGAATCAAATGCGTGCTGCGGTTGGTACTCATTCTCTCCCTCTCGCCCCTCTCAATCTGTTATCCTTTCCTCTTTTTTATTGACCATGTTGCCGTTTAAGTATCTACTTTCAGCTAAAACAGAGATTTCTGAAAAACATGAGTAAAGACTAAGCTGATCAATTTGGTATGCAGATATGTGACATGGTGACAGTAGCTAGATTTTTAAACTTGACTTTGGTTGTGCCAGAGCTTGACAAGACATCATTCTGGGCTGATACTAGGTGATTGAGTATTAGTATAATAAAGTTATCTTTTCACCTGTTCAATGCTTTGTAATAACTTCTAATAAACTCCTTTTGCAGTGATTTTGAGGATATTTTTGACGTAAGGCACTTCATTGATTCATTAAGGGATGAAGTTAAAATTATTAGGAGGTTACCGAAGAGATTTGGGAGGAGATATGGCTACCAACCCCTTGTTATGCCTCCTATTAGCTGGTCAAATGAAAAATACTACTTGGAACAGGTTTGTTCATTAATTTTGATTGTGTGTTATTAAATTGCAAGTAGAAATATGATGAGAAATGATTAAATAAATGGTTTTTTATTATTAAATAATTGCACATGTTAATTGTTAAAACTTGTTTGTTACTACTTATGTTTGGTTCTATCACTTTGAGCAATTGCACTTCTTTAAGATGGATTTCAAGGGTTCCAAATCTTCATTCTCTCTTCCCATTCCATTGGAGATTACTCCCGCCATCTCCAAATGAAATTGTCACACGGATAATGATGCTTGCTAGAAGTTACTTTCAATTCATTTTTTTTTACGTATTGCTTTAAAATTTTAAAAAATGATTTTTGAGTATTTAAAAAATACTTGAAATGTTTTACAAAACAATGCATTAAGGATCTAATGGAAACAACTTATTTTTTAACCCCAAGACCCCATCGAAGTTGGGATTATATTGGGTTTGTTGTGCACTGGTTGACAAAAAATGAAGAAAAAATGATGTGATGGAATGCACTCTACAGATTCTCCCTCTATTCAACAAGCACAAGGTAATACACTTCAATAGGACAGATGCAAGACTGGCCAATAATGGCTTACCTCTAGAACTTCAGAGACTCCGATGTCGTGTCAATTTCCAGAGCCTAAAATTTACACCCCAGATTGAAGGTTTGGGTCAGAAATTGGTTCACATGCTTCAAGAGAAAGGACCTTACCTTGCATTGCATCTAAGGTATGAGATGGACATGTTGGCTTTCTCGGGTTGTACTCATGGCTGTACAATACAGGAAGCTGATGAGCTCAAGAGATTAAGGTGTGATGTATACTGACTACTCATGATTTGCTCAGATAAGATGCATTGAAGAAAACACAACATATTTCATGCCTTACTGATGTTTTTTTTGTGCATAATTCAGGTATGCATTCCCTTGGTGGAGGGAAAAAGAAATAGACTCTAAAGAGCGTAGGTCTCAAGGTTTATGTCCTCTAACCCCGGAGGAGGCATCGTTGGTTTTGCAAGCTTTGGGTATTGAGAAGGATACACAAATATATATTGCGTCTGGTGAGATATATGGCAGTGAGCGAAGGCTTGCTGCTCTAAGATCTGCATTCCCAAGGACTGTAAGTGCTACTTGGTGTTTCAAAATGCACAAATCCATCCCATTCTCGATGTGGATTATAAACTATATATCCTTCTAAATGGCATGTGAACTCTGTTCTATATGTAAAACCGCATATTATTTTCAGAGCAAATATCTCTTTGTTGGAATATTTTTTTTTATCATTTTTAAAAAAGAAAGATGTTTAAGGGTGACAATGTCTTACAACATAAGATTGCATAAGACATTCCCATCAGGCAAAGGCTTATCTCATAGTCATAGTTTTCTCACTTGACTTGCGGGAATATTGCATGAGTGATCCACCAAACTATGCTCCATATATCAAATTTAACACAAACTCTAATTAGTACCAAAAAGGCTACTCAACTTTATTCTTTGTTCCTCCAATATCTTTGGCCAAATGCATAATTTTATCCTCTGTTGGATTTGGATTTCCAGTGGACTAGTGGAGCGCTTATAATCATATTGTTGTAATCATGAATATGTGTTGTTTTTCGTTATCATAGTTTTCAGCCACTTCAGCTAAATATAACTTTTGGGAAGGGGTCAGGATTGAAAATAGGGAATGTAGAGTGATTACAAGTAGTCCGCTTGGAGACCTGACTATTAGCAGGAAAACATTAACCAGAAATTAGTAATGGAACCACTGCTGAAATAAAAATAGAAGCTCTACTGTTGGTTCCCTTTTGATATAGGAATAAAAATTAAAGTTTAGTGCTCAGTTTTGTACATGTATCATAGTTAAGTGACAATTTAAGCAATTTTCTCCTTGTTTAACTCGCATCGTGCTAAGCACAGTGAATCCTAACATTCTCTAATTGCAATCACAGGTAAAAAAGGAAACACTGCTTGGTCCTGAAGGTTTGCAGCACTTCCAGAACCATTCATCTCAAATGGCTGCTCTGGATTTTGTAGTGTCAGCTGCCAGTAATGTATTTATTCCCACTTATGATGGCAACATGGCAAAACTTGTCGAAGGTCACCGTAGGTATAATAATAATAATAATAAATCTAAATCTTGAATTTGATAGTTAACTTTTATTGCAGACATTCAACTGGTGTTATATATCATGTGCAGGTATCTAGGGTTCAAGGAAACCATCCAACTGGACCGGAGAGGTCTGGTACAATTGTTGGATTTACATCAGAACGGAACACTTCCTTGGGACAGATTTTCAGATGCCGTCCGGCAGGCCCACGAGGGGAGAATTGGGCAGCCAGCCCATCGTAAAGTTATTGCAGACAAGCCCAAAGAAGAAGATTACTTTTACGCTAATCCTTATGAGTGTCTGTGCAAGAGCCCGAGGTGCGACGATGACTCGTTAAGACATAATGACAACAACTCAACTGTGACCCGGTGAGGAAAATGTTCCACAACAGGTCCCACTCTAACACCTCCGCCAAATATAGAGTTGCAAGAGAGACGCGGCCAAGACACAAACGTGACGAGTGAAGTGTACAAATGATTCTTTGGAAGTGTTACAGAAACATGACTTGTGATTTGTACCATGTTTGATGGGTGTTGTAATATGGGTCCATTTGGAGATGTATTCATTCATTCTGTTGATATTAGGTTATTTCCTTTGGTTTTGACACAATGATTCATTTGTTTTTCTTGTAACCCAAAAGTCACTCTGATCTCATCAACAGACCTCACACACCCTTCCACTCAATGAATTTTGTACTCATACTCAGACTAATGTACAAATTTTGCCAAATGCTGTTAATCATTTTGATGCCCCCTTGTTATATATAGTCTTGAGTTTGGATGGTTTTGAGACTATTTTACAGGCTATCACCTCCTTGTTTCACAGGTTCAAGCCCTAATGACGTGGTAATTTTATGTGCTTTATTAAGTTAAGAATGTATGAACAAATATTATATTGTACTTTTTCTGTTTGTTATAGATCTTTCCAAATGCCTTTTTTATTTGTTTGGGAATGGTCTTTCCATTACGTTTTTTTAATACGGAGTATTTCAAATGCCACAACTATCCTAACTTTAATTATTACGGAGTACAATTCATTATGTCATTTATTATATCTACTCATTTTCATTGAGGGTATTTTAGTAAATTTCTATTTTCGAACTCTCTTAAAAACTACAAAAGTTTAATTTAAGAAGATCTATCTGGGAGTAATAGAGTTAGTATTGTTCAAAAAAAACAAAACAAAACAAAAAAGAGGAGAAAGAAGTCTAAAAGTCTACATAATAATAGCTTGGTAAGGTGAAAGCTAGCTTTTTGACAGAGGTGACCAAATACTATTTGTTGGCTTCTTACAGAGTGTATCTTTGAAGATATAAAAGCCGAAGACAACAAAAATGAGATGAATAAAAAAACACAAACAAGACTAAACTAGAAATAGAATGAGCATAAAGAAGATCAATAATGGTCACCCCATTCAAAAAATTACAAAAAGTCATATGGATATATATATATATATATATATATATATATATATATATATATGTATGTATGTATGTATGTATGTATGTATATATATATATATATACCCATGACATAACACAATTTGCCTTTATTCCTAGGAGTTGAACACTTCTAAATTCAGATTAGGGTAGATTTTTTTTAATATTATCCATGAGATAGTGAAAATTATATTTTGAATAACTTAAACTCCTATTATTGTCAATCAGCAATTGAGGGATGGGGCAAGGGAGGGTTGAAGGATTAAGAAAACAAGAATCATTAATTTTTCGAACAAAACAACGTAGGAATCCCAATTAGGCATATGTCATAATATCTTACCGAACCTATAATTATTACCGGAGTATTTTCCAGTACTCCCTTGATGGTTTTCATACTATCGAGTTAATGTTTTTATTACGAACAAACGAAATCAATAATCTTCAAGTCAGTTTAGAGCACTTCGATTAGACATTGTCACTAGATCATATTCATGCTTCCTTTTCCATATGTCTTAAAAATTCAATTTTATTTTTTTGTTTCAAAAAACAACATAACCTTTGTTTGGTATTAGCTTAGCGTTTAGTTTCAGTTAGTTGAAAATGTCATCGAACGGTAACTTTTGACATTAATATAGAGCCCTCTGTACCTAAATTATTTATTACTCTCTCCGTCCTAAAACTTTCTTCCCGTTGCGCAAAACGAAGAAAAATCCCAAGTTTTTTCAATCTATTTTATTTAAATATTGGTATATAAATGAAAAATAAAACATACATATTTAAAAACTACATCAAATGTTCAACAAAACAAATGGTGACCCAAGTTTTTTCAATCTATTTTATTTAAATATTGGTATAGAAATGAAAAATAAAACATACATATTTAAAAACTACATCAAAAGTTCAACAAAACAAGTGGTGACAAAAATATTTTACTTTATCATATAGGCAATGAAAAAACACATAAATATAAATTCTGTGAACTTGGAATAGTGCTCTGGGAAGATAGTTTTAGGACGGAGGGAGTATTTGATACAGTAGTACGGAGTGTTTTTTATAAATTCATTTTCAAACTTTCAATTTTTTTATTTCTTTCATTCATTGGAAATGTTATAACAACTAAATGAGAAATTTTCTTTGGGACAAAACGATCAATTTCATAATGTGCATACTCCAAATACATGCGAAGAAATAAATGTGTGAAATGAATATATTCTTTAACTTGTAAACGGGCATATAAACATCGTACAATTCCAATGTATAATATAGGAACTTCCTATTTAGGCTCCCAGAAGATGATTTCGCCCGGGTCTCCAACGAGGCCGAGATCTTTGAGCCTTCTCTCTTGGTAGTATTCCAATTCATCGAGTTCCTCTTCTCTCTCCCGGAAAATGTTGTCTATCTGTCTCAACACTTTCTTCTCCCCCGCCCTCACTCCTATGGCTATCTCAAGTCTAGGATTGAGGTTTCCTTCTTTCATTTTCTCATCCTGCATCAATAGACGTGTTGTTTATCGTGTGTGCGTGTGTGAGGTGTGCATGTGTATGTGTGTGATTAGAAATATGAATCAGGCGCCATTGGGCATTGCACGGTTAGCAAGGCAAGTGGTGCACATCTGGGAATACCCAAGTTCGATCCCTAGCAAGTGCACTGGGAGGCAACTATGCTAGGCATAGGACCTTTGCAAGTACCAGATGCCAAGCTCCACTCTTTGCCATCAATTTGTGATTAAAGCTCAATTGACCTCCTCTCGCGTGACCGTCCGACCGGTTCCGAGAGACCTTTAGCCCTTAGGGATGGATGGGGTTCATCCTTTTTTAAAAATACGAATGAGGTAGAGAATGTATTTTGTTTTGCTATGATAGATTGAAATGGAGCGTTTGGTTTGTACTGGGCAAGAAAATTAAGGTCAGCTTTTCCTATCAAAGATGGAGGCATGGACGGGTTAGGCTGGAGTTCTTGTCGTTGCCTGCAACGACATAAGAATGAGTTCAATGCCGAAGGGGAAGGGGTGTTTAAGGATTTGGTCTTTTACTATACATGTAAAAAGACTTATTGTATCACTATGGTGGTATAACTTATAAGAATGCCTTACCTCTTCAAGAGTGGTCTGATATCCGGAAAGTGTCAAGGCGCAAGCATCTCGGATTACTCTACATATGAGCTGCTCATTTGCACGGCTAACGGGTAATTCCAGGTGGGCCCAAATGGAGTTCCGGAATATTGACTCGAGCAAGAAGACATCGGGTCCCGCAAGTGCCACCAACCTCAAGTAGGGAAGCATTTGAGGTGGAAGACGTTGGCCCAACTTTATATCAAAGTATGCTGTTTCCCCTAAACCATTTGACTCTGCAATGTCCAGTTTGTCCCCATGAAACTCATCTGACTCGGGAATTTCCAAGTTTAGTGTAAATGAATCACGACACGGACTTGAATCAATGAAACCATAGTCCAGCGCAAAATCAGCATTGCTCTTCTTCAGATCATATTGGATGAAAACCTGTCAAACCCAAGAAGAGTTGTTTGAAGAATTATTTTGATCCCAACAAAAGTCCTATATGAAAAAATGTTCGCTTAAGTTGAGTGCATTAAATTTATTTTAAACTAAGTTAACCAAGGAATAAATTTCAAAATATAGTTGGATTTCGTGATTTTCAATAGTTTTGCCTAACTAAAAGTTAAAAAACTGTACCTTTGTGAAACAAGACTTCTTTTACGGGACACATGAAATAGTTAACTTTAGTGTGAACTCCATAAACTATTTAGGACCAATTTCCTTAGAAGAGACATCTTCCATCCTAAAGTTATTTCACACTTCTTTTGCACCTTTCCCAAAATGATTTTTCATTTCGTATCAACGAAAGAATTGTTCAGTTCATACCATTTCTCTCCCTTCAAAATATAAGGCAGCCACAATATTCTTTTTCCAAATATGTGTGCCAAGTCAAAGTGAAAAGTTAGTAAAAGCAAGAGTAAAATCAACAAATGGGCCTCTATATTTGGGTATATTTGGGGATATTCTACATTTACTCCACTACAACAAGAACTCAGTAGAGTTATCCCTACTAAAAGTAGAGAGAATGTTTCCAAGAGACCCCCTGCTCAAGCACATGACTCCACATTTACTCCAACACTTTATGAAATTTCATTGAAGGTCCACTTTAACTGTGAGCATTGCCAATTCTAGTCAACTTTCCACTGAAGGCCCTCAAAATGATACACTATGAAGGGACTAATAGTAGCATTGTTCCAAGTTTTTAAAGACCTTAGTTAATTGACATAGAGGACTAAAACTGGCAATGTTCACAACCAATATGAACCTTCGATAGAGTTCTATAAAGTAGTGAGCTAAATGTGCAATATCCTCAATTGTAGAGGACCATTTGTGGAATTTACTCTAAAACAAATATCAACCACTGATGGGAATTTAATCCATACTTGCTCACCAGCCTTCACTGGTAATGGGCTTCGCAAAGAGAATAAGTAATCCCAGGAGAAAAGACCTTTGGTTCCTCTAACTTCATAGGCATGATCTTCCATGGTAACTTTATCACTGTGATTGATCTAATGCATTCAACAGAACATAGAAATCAACTGAGAAACCAATCACTCTTTCATCGTTTCACCCCAATTCTTATCACAAATAAAGTCGGTGTTATAGAACCACCAATTTATATGTAGGAGGACTGCGCCTTGACCACCTAGAGGGTGTTTGGGACTAATTTAAAAATGATTCTTAGCTTTGTTAGGAATCAGAGATCAGAAGCGGTCAAGCGGAAGCGAACAAATACCCACACACAAATAGCAGAAAATAAGAACACGAGATTTAACGTGGTTCGGTCAGTAACCTACTCCACGGGTTGCAACTAGGGTTTATCTTTTATTAGGTGCTCAGAGATTATAGTTACATGATTGGGTATTTATAAGATATAAATTAGGGTTAACAACTTGCTAAACAAGAAACAACTAATGGGCCCTTTAATTAATAACTAAAACCGGCCCCCCATATTTCTTCTCTTTAACCGACCGGGCTTAAAGCCCAAAGCTCTAAAGCCTTCACCGAATAACCCAACAATCTCCCACTTGAAGGATTTCGCATAGACACAAATGCCATCCAAGTAAACCCATCATGAGTAACTCAGTAATCTTCACTGTCAAGTCCTCCAAGCCT